GTTTGAGTCCGGCTTGCAGCCTGCTGAGTTTTTGGGGAAAGCAAAAAATAACACTCAATAAAGTACATGAAGGACTGCTTCCTTCTGTACTGTCTGAGCTTGCCAGTTTAAGATCTTCCTCTCAAGCTCTGCTTTCTCTGTCCATGCTTGCAGAAATGAAGAGGGTGGCAACTAGAAATGAAGTCTTCTCAGTGGTGGCACCTCATCTTTGGAATGCTTAACTTTACTATTTTTTTTAGGTAACAGGTGGAAACCATTTTTAACCCAGCCTTTTAATGGAGGGGTTCCATCGTGTTTTATGTTATGCTTCTAGTTGGAGGGCTGTTTTAAGGGTATCTTTTCAGGCTGCTGAATATTTTATCCTTTTAGGCCCTTGCTTGTGTTAGTATTCATAATTTTCAGGCAGGTAGCCTGAAACATTGCATAAACCCTGCAAAATTTTGTTGGGTGTTAAGATGCAACTGAACTTGAATTGGTTCTAATGATCTTGCATTGTTCTATGATTTTAACTGTATTTGTGAACCAGTGTATAGTTTCTAAATAAAGATAGCGTTAAATCAGAGCATGCCTTTATGCATTGCCCAGTGGAAACAAGTTATTGATACTCTTTGCTATTGTTTACAGCACTGTCCCAGTAAGTTGAAACGCAAGAGAGCAATGGATGACAATTACAGTAAGATAGTCTCCTATGGACCCATTCGCCTTCTGGCCCCTTCATCCTTGGAAACAAAGAACACTACGCCCAGTGGTAGCCAAAAGTCTGCTCCATGGGGTATGTGCATGTTTTCCTACATGAGATGCTAACCAGCATGGATAAATAGCCTGGACTCTTGTCTGTGGTTACCGCTCCCTTCCTCCCATGCAAACTACACAGATGTCAATCTTTCTCTTTTTCTCTCTAGATCTACAGTTATGGATCCCCGGTGCTGTAGTTTCGGTAGGCATCGGTATTGCTGTCATTTTGACTGCTGTAGCCAAAGCCATGAAGAAATGAGCAACCTGGCTGCAGCGGAGTTCCAAATAAATCTGAGAATTGCAAGGAAAGGTGGGTGGGTGTGCCTTTGTGTCTCTCTCTCTCTCTGGCTAGGGCCTGAGCCTGCTTGTTCGATTAGAGCTAAACTCAACACGAGCAGATAGGTCTTTGTTCTCACAGCTGCTCTGATGCTAGAAGGAAGCTGAGCTTGGTAGATGGGTGCCTCAAGTGATGCTGCACACCAAAGTGGAAAAGATTCTGCACAACATACAGCATACACCTTCTATTGTAAAAATTGGATCCCTCTATATGTGTGAAGAATTATATGTAACCTTCCTATCAGGACTTGTTTGGTCCTTGAACATTCCTCACTTGGAAGTCTGAGATTCCAGGTCAATTGTTTTGTAGAGATGATGACCTCGAGATGTTGTAGACCCTTTAGCAGAGAAGAAATCATAGAACCACAGTATTGGAAGGAGCCATGCAGGCCATCTAGTCCAACCCCTGCTCAATACGGGATCAGCCTAGAACATCCCTGACAATTGCTGTCTGGTTCCATACAGTCATCTACTCCCAGTAGGCACCTTTGCGTGCCATGTGCAAAAAACCACATGGCACAACCTCAGCTAATCACCCGGCCATTTCACACAGAGCCTGCTGTGGCATGGGCACCAGTAGCACAGTCTGCTGGCATCCTTAACACAATGACTTGGCTACAGGAGACATTTTCACCAGTCAGCCATGGAGGGAGACACTGATGTAGGAAGGAATTAAGTACCTCTTCTTCTTTTTTTCCCCAAAGCATCATTTGCAAGCAGATGCTTTCTAAATTACCCAGCTGCTCCATTCGCAGAATTCCACTATCAGAATGCAAGCAGTGCCCTGCTGGGCCAAAGCAGTGCTACAGTGGCCAGCTAGTTGCCTTGAAGGGCCACCCAATAGCATGATGAAGCTGCGAGGCTGGGCTGTGGTTATGGGCCTTTGCTCAATACTGCTGGGCTGTGGTTATGGGCCTTTGCTCAACACTGTAACAGGAATTACGTCATTTGATAGGAAGAGGCAACCCTTCATTTAATTTGCTTTAGACAGCCCGCTAGTCCACCTAACGAAGGGTTACCACTAGTGGTTTTTCCAGGCTCTTAAGCAAAGAGGTGTTTCCAAGCTCTGCAGTCTTTAACTGGCAGTGTCAGTGATGGGAACCTGGGATGCTACACTGTACAGTTCAAACATATTCCTGTAGCTTGGCAATACAGTGTAAGTGGGAGGTGAGGAACTTTGTCTTATTGCTGTTGGAAAAGGTGGAAATGCAGCAGCAGGTAGTGTGGTGTTCTCGTCCATTTGCAGCCGAACAATGCTTCCAGTCCCGCTGGCGTTCCTCCATGGCACGTGCACAACCCTGATTTCCTGTACTGCCTGCAGTAGCAGACAGGCCTCGACCATCTCACGACTTTGCACAATACGCAGTAAATGCAGGCGTTCTTGTACCCTTGCATCCATGTCTTATGCCAAAAGGCTATTCTAGTCCTCGCTTAAGTTTGGTAAGCAAAGAACTAGCTTTAGTGGAAATGCAACAGACCTCCACAGTTCCATGGTTTTCTTTAGAGTCTTCCCTCCTCAGCCAAGAGATACAGCCCTACTTTGTTTCGAAGACCAGAGACTGAGAGCAAAAACTTTACTGCATCCATCTGTAAGATGGAAGCTGTATGGTCGGGCAGCTCCACTCTGCATTGTGGCCCAGAGAGGGAGGGATCACAAGTTTTTAAGAAGAAGAAGATTGGATTTATACCCCGCCCTTCACTTGGAGTCTCAGAGCGGCTTACAAACTCCTTTCCCTTCCCCTCCCCACAACAGACACCCTGTGAGGTGGGTGGGGCTGAGAGAACTCTGACACAAACTGCTCTTTCAGGAACAGCTGTGCCAGAGCTTGTGACTGACCCAAGGTCACATCAGCAGGTGCAAGTGGAGGAGTGGGGAATCAAACCCGGTTCTCCCAGATTAGAGTCCGCACACTTAACCACTACACCAATCCTTGGTTGCATTCTCCAATGGAGTCATAGAGGTGCTATTAGCATTTCAAAGGGGAGAGGGGAAAAGGGGAAAGCTGTGCCCTTCAAAAACCTCCCCCCCCCCTTTTAGGAAGCTAATCAGCAAACAAGAGATTAGAAAAACCAAGTAAAGTTTGAAGGTTTAGAGCTGCTGGAACCTTTTGATGGAGATGTTTGCGTATCATGATGTTTTCATCCTGACCACTCTGTTCTAAGAGGCCTTATGGAAGGATATTCATGTCCAAGGTTCCTTTCTGCAGCCCTGAGTAACACATTGCCCCCCTTTGCCCATGCTGCCCCCCTGGTCTTCTCTTGCAGAGACCCCAGAAAGCTTGCTACTCATCTCCCCAATGCTGCCAATGTACTGAAGGCCTTTCCCTGCCTCAAAGTCATGCCTTATCTTCAGGGCCAAACGGCACAGTATGTTTTTGAAAGAGCTGGGTTCCTAAGACCTGACTTTCTTTTTCCACAGTCACGCGGCAGTTGTAGGAACCATCTTTTTTAACATTCTGTAGGAACCTGTTTTGTCTGAGGACAGTAGTGGTGGTGGGGGGGGGAGGCTCCTGCTGCGTCCCCATGCCTTTTCCTGAGCCAAAACAGCCCCAGTGGAAAGTGGATTCCATAACTTTGGTGTGGAGAACGTGAGAGAAAGAACGGGTATTAGGAACATTTCCCCCTCAGCAGTGTAAAGCCCTGAATATGCTCAAAGAGTGAGCGACCACCTTAGGCTGACGCATTCCCACACTCCGGCGATTCCATGATGGAACCGAGTTAACTCATTTTGCTTGGTTCTCGGTGCTCCCACAGAAAAGCTGCCCCTTACTGTTCTTTGAAGTGCGAGTAGAAGGAAGTGGGAAGGCTGGAACTTTTCCATAACACATGCTCCAGCTGGAGCCTTCAAGGACAAGCCATAGGCGGACCGCACTCCCCAATTTGGTCTTTCGGACAACACGTTGCCAATGTTTATTTCAGGTGCAAGCAAGGAATGCATTTCACAGCAATCCTGAAGGAGACTTTTTAAAATTTTCAGCGCTTAGAAACACACACACACCATTTACAAAAACTGAGACCTCTGTACACTAGAAATAAAGACGTCACAAATATATTACTTCAGGCTGCAAGAGCCTGCCCTGCCCCCGTGTAAGCGATGATACATATATACAGGCCTCCTCTGTGAGGAGGTTCAAGGAGTTCATGGGCACAGCCTCAAGGTCACAGCATGCTGCTGCTGGAATGGAGCTTCCCGCTGTTAGAAGACATCAACTGTGCTGAGGCAGACCGTCGAGCCTGCACGATCTTCGCCAAGTACCAAAGGAAGATGAGGAAGCCTGGGGAGAGGAGGAGAGAAAGACCTGGTGGATAAACAGCAGTCGGAGAAGATGGTGGAAAGGGAGCTCACTTTAATGACTTCTATTCCTTCTCCCACCCTGACCCGAACAGACCGATCACGAAAGCTAGCATAAGAAGGATTAAGGTAAAGGTTTCCCTTGCTCGAAAGCTAGTTGGATCCGACTCTAGGGGGTGGTGCTCATCTCAGTTTCCAAGCCGAAGAGCCAGAACTGTCCAAAGACTTCTCCGTGGTCATGTGGCCAGCGTGACTAAACGTCGAGGCGCAAGAAACGCTGTTACCTTCCCACCAAAGCGGTACCTATTTATCTACTTGCGATTTCTGGTTTCGAACTGCTAGGTTGGCAGGAGCTTGGACCAGAGACGGGAGCTCATTCTGTCACGCGGCACTCGGGTCTCAAACTGCCGAACTACAGACCTTCCAGTCTGCAGCTCAGTAGCTTAACCTCTGAGCCACCGTGGTCCCTATAAGAAGGATTACAGTGCCATAAAGATCCAGCAGCAGCAGAAAACACTGCAATGAGACACTAAGTAAATCTGCAAGTAAAATAAACTTGTGTATGGTTATTTTTATATCTGCTGTATAAGAATTATATAACTACAATTCTACTAAAGTCTATATACTTAATTACAAAGGTAAGTACAATTTTTAAATCATCAAAGGGTAGTTACAAGATAAATCAACATATTATCACAGAATGGAATCACTGATGATTTAAAAATTGTACTTACCTTTGTAACTGAATATATAGACTTTAGAAGAATTGTAGCATTATATGTCTTTATATTGTATAATTCTTACACAACAGATATAAAAATAACCATAAATGTTTATTTTACTTTCAGATTTATTTAGTGTCTCATGACAGTCTTTTCTGCTGTTACTTGGTTTCAAAAACTAAGCAGGGTTGGCCCTGGTTAGCGTTTGGATGGGAGATTACCAAGGAATACCAGGGTCATGACACGGAAGATGACAATGGCAAACCACCTCTGAAGTCTCTTGCCTGGAAAACTCCACAGGGTCGCCATGCAACTTAAAAGCAAAAAAAACCCAACAACAATTCCCTTCTCCAAGTTTGCCCAGAGCCAGACTTGGCTGAGGGAGGCTTAGCTTTTCAGGGAGCATATGTACACACTAATCTGAACATTACTGGGATGGGCTTGTGATAAAAGTGCAGCAGCAATGGGGGTTCCACATGGAAAGTTTCTCTGCCATGGTTTATTATTTATTTATTATTTGACTTTTACCCCGCCCTCCCGCCGAAGCGGCTCCCCAGCAGTGGCCGCCACCAGGGCTTTCCCAATTTCTGATACTGGGGAACAGTGTTTAAGCTGAGTTAGTGTGAGCTAGCTCACAGTTTCTTAGCCTCCGGCTCACACATTTTTGTCTTGGCTCAGGAAGGAGGGCTCCAGAGCAAACTAGTTTATGCAACAGCCAAATTGCTCACTCACAACATTAATGCCAGTAGCTCACAAAGTAGAATTTTTGCTCACAGGACTCCACAGCTGAGAGGGAACATTGCTGGGGAAGAAAGGAGGTAAAGAGGCAAGGAAAGGGATGTAAGTGCACTGACCTTGGAAGGAGTTGATGATGGTGAAGAGGTAGAGGGACACCAGCTTGAAGGTTCCAAAAGTGAATGAGAAAAAGGCCAGCCCCCAAGGGATGCCGAGCACACAGCTCAGTCCCAAGAGCATCACTGCATACTGCCACTGGCGGTAATCCCAGTGCCTCAGTTTGAGGATCACTCGCACCATAGCAGCCAGCATGATGATATTGAAGAGGAGCACCAAGCTTAGATATCCCAAATTCAGGATGCTGTTAATATGCTTGTTTGTTATCCAGCAGCT